TGGTCGGGTTCTGCCCCAGGCTCCCCTGATTCAGCCGCTGCTGGTCAGTTTCAGCAGCGGCTGAATCGGGGAAGCTGGGGGCAGAGCAGCTCTAATGGTCTGGCTCCCTGGAGCACTTCTGGGTTCCTGATGGTGCCGGACCATCAGGAGTGCCGGACCATCAGGAGTGCCGGACCATCCGAGTTTTACTGTATAGAGAAAGGCCTTATGAATCCCTGTAGCCCTGAGTTGAGCATGGTCAGTTGCTCTGTGAGAATAGCACATGATGTGCAGTCTGATTAAACATTTAGTAACTGTGATGGGCTAGAGCAGGGGTCTCCAAACTTTAATGCAATACCCTGCCAATAGGTAAAACTCAGGAATTGCAGATCTCAAGTCTGAGAAAACTGAGACAAACTTGGCAACACCACATTTAGTTTGCCTACAGTGCTGGTGAACACTAAAAGAGTCATAACTGTGGTTAGTCTGAGTACAAGTGTCCAAGCTCTTGGATGTTTATCTGAGCTATACATGCCTCTTCAGTTTGTAGAACTGGGGCCTCAACTTGAAAACCTTTAGCTATATGATTAGTCCCACTAAATAGATCTACTTTAAGGAATAAGGACAATTCATGAAAACAAAGCTCTCTTTCTGCTCCTTTACTTAAAACATGCTTCTCTTATATTCCATCTGGGGCTTGCAGCACACACCACCTATTAAGACTCACTTTCCATTAGAATGATTTTCAATTGCTTATAATTTTGCTGCACTATAACCTTTTGGACTGAAATTCTGTCCTGTATCTGCCTGAGGCTGAATGTTGTTGGAAAAGTTCAACCAAAATATTTCACCCATTTCCAAAAACCAAGATTAGGCAAAATGTTTTGTCCATATTAAAAAACTATGGCACCTTTACTTAGAAAAGACCTAGTGTATACCATACCCATGCTTGGAAGTTAGAACTTGAAATTTGGTAACCAGAGGATGACCTTTGTGTCAGAGATGAGCTTTATCCAGGTGAAAAATGTATCCAGATATGTCCCAGTTATAAGTCCTTTGAATGATATATGTGTGTGTGTGTGTGTGTATACACACACACACACACACATATATCATTCAAAGGACTTATAACTGGGACATATCTGGATACATTTTTCACCTGGATAAAGCTCATCTCTGACACAAAGGTCATCCTCTGGTTACCAAATTTCAAGTTCTAACTTCCAAGCATGGGTATGGTATACACTAGGTCTTTTCTAAGTAAAGGTGCCATAGTTTTTTAATATGGACAAAACATTTTGCCTAATCTTGGTTTTTGGAAATGGGTGAAATATTTTGGTTGAACTTTTCCAACAACATTCAGCCTCAGGCAGATACAGGACAGAATTTCAGTCCAAAAGGTTATAGTGCAGCAAAATTATAAGCAATTGAAAATCATTCTAATGGAAAGTGAGTCTTAATAGGTGGTGTGTGCTGCAAGCCCCAGATGGAATATAAGAGAAGCATGTTTTAAGTAAAGGAGCAGAAAGAGAGCTTTGTTTTCATGAATTGTCCTTATTCCTTAAAGTAGATCTATTTAGTGGGACTAATCATATAGCTAAAGGTTTTCAAGTTGAGGCCCCAGTTCTACAAACTGAAGAGGCATGTATAGCTCAGATAAACATCCAAGAGCTTGGACACTTGTACTCAGACTAACCACAGTTATGACTCTTTTAGTGTTCACCAGCACTGTAGGCAAACTAAATGTGGTGTTGCCAAGTTTGTCTCAGTTTTCTCAGACTTGAGATCTGCAATTCCTGAGTTTTACCTATTGGCAGGGGATTGCATTGACCTGCCATTAGACCAGAGCACTGTTATCATTATGGTTTTGAAAACCTTATCATTTGTTCTTAAGAGAACATAAACTAACAGCTTGCTTGGTAAACACTGAAGATAGTACTTAATAGTTTGATAATCCTGGTACAAAAAGGAAAATGACATGCTTGAGTCTCCTTAGTCATCTACACAACTAGCAGTGGGTTTCCTTGGAGCCATTCAGTGTGTATAGTAAGTAAGCCTTTTAAAGTACTCAACTGTATTCCGGTTTCAGATACATGCTGAGGGCTCCACTAACATAAATGGGGAGGAGAGGGTTGTATCTGAAGCTTGATGATGGTCCATTGTGGTCAGATTATATGCTGCCTGCTAGCAAAATTTCAAGACATGGTCTTTGTTCCAAAGAGCTTGCTTTCTAATATATCTCATACAGAGAAGATTTGCACTTTAGGTAAAATATGTTTTAAAAATCTGCTTTCTATCTAGGATGTTTTTCATTGGCCAAATTATTGCACTTAAATATACAGATTAGATATTTTATCATATTACTGTTTTGGGAAAATTGCAGAAAAAATGGACATTAAAAACATAGGGTAAGATTCTGTTCCATCTCTATAGAAGTAAATCCAGATTAATTTTTATTAAAGCCTGTAGAATTACCCTGGCTGTTCTCAATTATGTTGGTGTAAGAATTTGGCTGATGTTGTGGTTTGGTTTTTATTTTTTGACATCCCTTCCTTCATCAGAAAGCTCAGTGTCTTCAGCTATGTTGGCTCATTAAGGAGTGCTTGCTGTCTCCACTCTGCTGCCTGCATTCTGACAACTATTTGTTTCCCATTGCTATCAGTAGTTTTGCTTAGGCATAACTGATGGGAACTAAAGGAAACAGTTCAGAGATAATATAAAATAAGGATTAGAACCCAATTTACTGTCTCGTAGCTATGCTGGTTCTGAAGGTCTAGCAGAAATAGAGAACAATATCAATTTATTAATAAGCAATTTCAGGGTGAAATCATCAAATGATGCAAATTACCATATTATAGCTCTATTGAGTTCAATGGAGGTACAGTTTAAGCTAGTTCAGAACTGGGCTCATTGTCATTAAAGTGAGAAGTTCTGACTCAGTGTGGAGGCAGCGAGCAGACCTGTGAAGTGAGAGAGTACCAGTTTTACAATCTGAGTTTAACCATTTATTAAAGTCTATGACTGTCCTGTTCACTAAGTGTTATCTGAACATACAGAAATACTGATCTGGATTTTTTTTGTCTTTGTTTATTTGCAGGGACGTATAGCCTGTGCTAATGTCCTAAGTGACCTTTATGCTATGGGGGTCACGGAGTGTGACAACATGTTGATGCTCCTTGGGATCAGTAATAAAATGACAGATAGGGTAAGGTCTTTGGTGATTACAGTGAAACAAATGGACCCAAGTAACTCTACCTGCCACAGTGTGTTACCCTACATAAACATTTAGCTTTGCAATTCATGTTAATGTTCTTTTTTCCCCTCAAAGTTTGGGGTCTTTTTAAAAAGGGCCTTTGTGGATGGTCTCAGGATGTTACACCTAAGAATCAGTTACTTACATATTGATGGGACTTTTGGGTTTGCTTGCTGACAGGCTGGTCCTGAGCAGCTCTTCTCTGGCTGCACGATTTCTGCCCTTATTTCAGTTGTCTTCTCCCAAATAGTGTCCCTGTTTCTGCTCAACCTTGTACAGTAGGGGCCTGAGCCAGCTTTTTAATACCATATTGATAGGTGTAGTGTAAGAACTTGGTGTATCTAGACTACATGGTTTTTTTTGAAAAAGGTGACCTTTTTTCGAAAAAACTTCCCCTGCATCTAGACTGTTGCTGCATTCTTTCGAAAGTAAATTGAAAGAACGCAGCAGTTTTTTCGATCGTGGAAAACCTCATTTTACAAGGAATAATGCCTTTTTTCGAAATTGCTTTTTTTGAAAAAAGCCGTTACTGAACACAAACTGTGCTTTTTCGAAAGAGAGCATCCAGACTGCCTGGGTGCTCTCTCTCTCTCTTTTTTTTTTTTAAAGGCAAGCCACTTTTTTGAAAGTACTGGCTGTAGTCTAGACACTCTTCTGAAAGAGGCTTGTACTCTAGACGTATCCTTGTATAGGTACTCTGTGGGGTCTCTTATGCCAGCTTTGGCATCAGATCAATAGTACTTCAAAGGAACAAAAGAGAGTGAGGTGGATTATTCAGAACCACCAACACCTGTGGCAGAGAAAGAGCTGCTTTGTTGGAGGAAGAAATAACCTCAGACACTGTGGGTTGCTCTGCTGTGTGGGGTAGTGGGAAGCTGAGAACAGAGAACAATCTTTTTCAGGGGCCAAATCCCACTTTTGCCTGTGGCATTAACCTATAGGCTGCCCCAGATTAAGCAGTAGGATGTGGTTCTGATTTACAGAACTTTCTTCAGTCCACAAGGAATAGACTTGGATTTATGCAATCCTTAATTCATGTCCCAGATTCTTTACCTCCTGTGTGACCTTTTGGGCATGTTCCTACAAGGAGCTTTGAAACCGTGACTCTGTTATATGGAATGTCAGTTGTTGAAGGCTAATTTTTAAAGGCTTGATCCAGCTTCTTCTGAATGAGAATCTTGCTTGGGACTTCAGTGGGAGCTAGATTGAGTTCCTAATGCCCTGATCCAGTTGTGAAATGAGTAGATTCTGCTTATATGAAACTCTGACCTCTGTACTTTGATCTGTAGGAAAGGGACAAAGTGATGCCTCTAATTATCCAGGGTTTCAAAGATGCAGCAGAAGAGGCAGGAACATCTGTGACTGGTGGCCAAACAGTGTTAAATCCTTGGATTGTTTTAGGAGGAGTGGCCACTACAGTTTGTCAGCCTAATGAATTTATAATGTAAGTTAAATCACTGAACAAAATCGCATGGTGTCATATCAAAGGATTAAATAAAGGTGCCTCTTCCCTTTTAATGCCATATCATGCTCTTACATCTTTTTTTAATCAGAAGAAATTAAAAGTATTTTTTCAGCTTTTGGGTTCTCTGCTGATGGATACCTTAGAGATATCTAAGGTTGCTGCCAACATCTGTCTTGCACCAGTTTGCTTTTTCAGAAAGAGGGGTTCATTTCTGATAAGTTGTGCTACTATATGCTGCTTCAAGAGGAAGATTTAAGTTTTTTGGAACTTTTAGATCTGAATGATAGTTGGGGGATGGATAACCTGTTTTTGAAAAAAACTGGTTAGAATGGTACTTCAGATTTAAAAAAAAAAATCAGCAGATTGATGATAGTTAAGAATAGGAGAAATATCACACCAGTGTAGTGCCTACAGCCTTCAGACTGTTACCTTGTATCAAACATTAGCCAATATTGAATGCTATGGAGGAAAGCATCAGCCCTGCTTTGTGTGTAGTATTATACCATAAGAAGGAATTTCATCCTGGCCCCAGCTGGTGATTCATGTATGCCTTGAATTAAAGAACTGATAACATGTCTTTTGTTTCTTCTGGTCTAATGTACCCCACGAATTAATAGAAAAAACACATGATCTTGTTAAACTGCAGGCATTGTCCTTTTATATGAAGCTCTAGTCTTCTTTTAAAATATATTCATAAGCAGTCTATGGAAAACATATGCAACTAAATACCCATTGTAAGTGCAGCGGAATGTATGGTACTGTGGAAAAAGTAATTCCCAAACTAATGCAGCTAAAGCATTCAAGTATAAATTTCACTTCCTAATTAATGTCAATACTTTTGTTTGCAGGCCAGACAATGCAGTTCCAGGAGATGTGCTTGTGTTGACTAAACCCTTGGGAACACAAGTGGCTGTAGCTGTCCACCAATGGCTAGATATTGTGAGTAAACTGCTTAGAATGGGTTGAAATGTCAGTGTTATTGCTCAAGGCCACAACATTTTGAAATGCAAATGTTCATTAGTTTAAGAAGTATTTAAGGGGATTGCTGTCTTGCCCTTTCCCCAAACCCTGTATCTGTCGTTTATATTTAGGTCACGAGTTGTTCTGGGCAGCAATTTTTCTGCTATTCTTTATTTGTACAGTGCCTAACACAATGGGATGCATTTTTGGTGTCCTGAAGCACTTACGGTACTGTAGTTTTTTAAAAAAGTTTTGAAATGGATTTGGATGCATGGTGATGAACAAAGCAATGTCTTGACATCTTGGGTGAAATACTGGCTCCACTGACTTCAGTACAGCCAGGATTTTATCTTGTGTTCATAGACTTTCTGCATCTGGATACATGGAAACATCTCTCATGCTCCATGTATTGCGATTTGAGTTTAAGAAAATATGTGTAGTTGTACTATGTGCATGGAAATATTTCCATGTGTTACTTATGGCAAATGTAGCTACTGAGCTGAAAAGTGAGTGTAAAATTGGCATCTGTTTGTGATTTGGCTCTCATTGTATGTCTTCAGAATTACCACTGCTTAGTTTGCATTTTAAAAAGATGCCTTTTTAGTGTTAAGGGAACTACGAAGCCAATAGACTGGAAGAAAAGTGAGCTGGTATCTAATTTGCCTGGGTGTCAGCCTCTAAATTACCAGATACATTCTGGAATTAGAATGTCTGTTAGCAAAAGAATTGGGGGGGGGGGAAACTAGCTTCATTTCCCCCACCTGGAGCCTAGGTTGAGTCTGAAGAATGGAGAATTAGAGAGAACACTTGTTTTCTGTCCTTTTTTTAGGTTTATAAAAGAAGATCTAAGGTCTCATCTTGCAATCTGCAAAACTGTAGAGTTCTACCCATGCTAATCAGATCTCAGGATGGGGACTAGAGGGAGGCGGGGGAGATGGGCACTGAGAGAAAAATGTAATGTGAAAATCATTTGTGAGAAATAAACATGAAACAGCAAGATTATCCTTTTTATGGTCTCTTTCTGTTTTTTCTGACCATAATCTTACTTATTGACATCTATTTCACTGACATACAGACTCACAAATGAAGGGAATTCTGAAGTTCCATATATTTCAAGTACTTCTAATTTTCTTTTACGTCAACCAAATTTGCTTTCTGCTGTAAACAGCAGAGGCAGAAAGGAAATCAATGTATATCTTTTAATTGTAAGCAAAAGAAAAATTCTGAGGCTGCACCACCTTTTTTGTGTTTTGTATAAAAGAGAACAGAAAATAGAGATTACCCATCATATTTATATATAAAGCTTCTAAAGGGATATTACTTTATATTCTAGAAATCGATTCTTTGTACAAGAAAATGCTTTGCAGAGAGACTGTATGGTACAGCAGTATTTGTATAGGGAAGAAAGGAAAGCTTGCATATGGAGATCACTTACAGAGTTAAAAAGTGAGCTAAAACATTCAAGGTGATAAAGAAATAATAAGTTCTTGCAGAATATAGGTACCAGGATAATGAAATGGAAGGATGCTGTATTAGGGAATATGAGTGAGATTTGTACCATTCATGGGCAAAAACAAAATGGAAGATAGGGACGATCTGCAGCCTAAGGATGTTAAGGAGCAGTTATTTGGCAAATCATGTAGTCGATACAAATCCTGTAGTCCCTCTTATCAATAAGTTGATGAGGGTTGCCACTCTGCAGTCGCAGCAAGGGTAGCTCACAGAGCTGGCACGAGCAGGAACTGAGCAGTCCCGGCTCGTGCTGGCTTCAGACCACGCATCTCTGCGTTTTAAATGTAGTAAGAGACGCTGGGCTCTTACTATATTTAAAATGCAGAGGCGCAGCAGTCCTGGACTGGTGTGAGCTGGAACTGCTCAGTCTTGGCTTGTGCCAGGTCCAGCAGCCCCTGTTTGTGGAGGCTGGGGCTGACTGTGGCCAGCTTGGTCTGCCATGGGCAGGGGCTGCTTTGCAGCAGCAGCCCTTCTTGGGGGGGAAGGGGGAGGAATGGACAGATTCCTTCTGGGACCCCCATGGACAGGGGCTGCTGCTGCCTCAGACTCCCCGCAGCACTGGCTTCTGTCATCCCTTCCCCCACTCCCAGCACTGGCTCCTCTTGTAAAGAGGCAGCAAGGGCAGGGGAGGCAAGTAGTTGAGGACTCAACTCGATTATCTGATAAGACCAAGCATTTCGGATAGTTGAGTACTTGATTACTTGCTTACATCCCTGCTGCATCCCTGTATCTTCCTCCTTCAGTTAAGTACCATAATTTAGCAAATATAACCTGCAGAATATATTCGGGTGCGGGGTATATAGGTTTTTTTTTTTTTTTATTTACCCGAGACTGAAGGTTCCTGCGGCTGCACAGAAATGGGGGGGAGGTGAGCGCTCCCTCGCCTGGAGGATGGTGTTTCCTGCATTTGTGCAGGAACAGGGGTGGGGGGGAGCGCTCCCCCTCCTGGAGGCTAGCGGTTCCTGCGGCTGTGCAGGAACCGGGGGATAAGTGCTCCTCCACCTGGAGGCTGGCGGCTGCACAGGAAATAGGGTGGTGAGTGGCTGGCTAATTCCCCCCCACACACACCGTAAATTAGCAGATAGACCCTCGGCACAGAAAAGTCTTGTATACCCCGTGGGTTATATTCGTGCATGAGGTATAAAAGATTTTTTTTTTTACTGAAATAGAAAAAACGCAGGGTATATTCAGGTGCGGGTTATATTTGGGTGCAAGGTATATTCGCTAAATTACAGTAATCCTGGGAAAGAAGTAAAGTTTGAAAACTTTGGAGTGGAATTGCTATGATTGTTGATATGCTAGATGTGTCAGTACTTGGCTGGGAGAACTTACTAATGAAACAGTATGTGCTTCAGGAAGTAATGATGATATTGGGAGGTGGAATTCTCAAGGCATTACCAAACCAGTGCACTAGACTGCTATTAGAGGTAACTATACTATTGAAAGTACTGTACTTTCCTTCAGATATGGGTTAATACCAACATCCACTAGTGGTTATTAGTGATTGTAAAGACCTTATAAGTGTGTTAATCCCTGTGTTCTTGCCAGATTCTAGCTTGGATAATTATATTCTCTTTCCTGGGTTTTTCATTGTATAAACTTTTCATTTCCAGTCCTAAGACTATGTTGCTCTGAATTGTTTGAAACAAATCAACTATTAATTTTGATGTGGCATTATTTCCGGTAATAAATTGCATTATCTCTGTTTGAGTATCGGTTCATGAAGTGTTTTGAGATTGTTTGGAATGAAAGGTACTATATAATTACAAGTTGTTAGCACATGATGTTAGAATGGGATGGAATATAGAGTAAATCTATAAAAACATTGGAAAAAGGAAGATAACTTGTTAAACTGGAGGTGAACCTTACAGGACTGGTATGGTCCCAGCTTGCTAGAATGAGAGCATGCTCAGCCTTAGCCTATGTCTACACTACAGCCTGGATCAATCCACCAGCTGCTCTGAGATCGATCCACCAGAGGTCCATTTTAGCTGGTCTAGTAAAGACCTGCCAAATTGACTCCTACTCTACCCCAGATGAGAAGAGTAAGGCAAATTGATGGGAGAGTTTTTCCTGTTGACACCCAGCGATGTAGACTCAATGGTAACATGATCTAGGTATGGCAACTCACCACGCTATGTTATTCACATAGCTGGAGCTGCACAATTTAGGTACCTTTACTACAGTGGTTTAGATGTAGCCTTACAGTGTTCAGAACTGACTGAACAATGAAAAGTCATTTGAAACTCTGGCTGTCAGTCCTGAGGATTGAACTCTTCAGTACTTGTAGCTCAGACTTGTTAGTGGAGAGTTCCCAGCTGTGGAATTAGGATTTATTCACTTTCTTTGTCCGAAAGTGTCTTGGTTAGGTAATGTTTTAAGGTGCATCTCTTTTGATCCTGCATACGCTCTCTGAGGGAGGTATTTACTATCCTAGGGTACCTGCCCACAGAGGGCAGTATAGAATGTGAACAACCACTTAAATGTTTAAACAAAAAACAGGACTATGTAGCACTTTAAAGACAAACAAGATGGTTTATTAGGTGATGAGAGCTTTCGTGGGCCAGACCCACTTCCTCAGATCAAGTAGTGGAAGAAAATTGTCACACCCATAACCATCTTGTTAGTCTTTAAAGTGCTACATAGTCCTGTTTTTTGTTTCAGCTACACCAGACTAACATGGCTACATTTCTATCACTATTCTTAAATGTTTAATACATTCTTTAAATACCAATGTCCTATGAACTGCAATATTAAGGCACAGCAGGGTAATCAGATATAATGGAGAAACTTGTTTTATATTTCTACAAAGACATTAAAATGTTAGCCCTTTAAAAATTAAACATTCAAGAAGTGGAAGTACATCCTGGATTAAAGTTGCATAAATTTGAATGCGTTTTAAAACACACATCCACAAAACTAAGAAAATGCACTAAATTAATCCTGTCTCTCCTTTCGCCAATAGCCAGAAAAATGGAATAAAATCAAGCTAGTGGTAACTCAAGAAGATGTGGAGCTAGCATACCAAGAGGCAATGATGAACATGGCAAGGCTCAACAGAACAGGTATGAAGAATAAGAATGTCCTAGAGGATGTTGTAGCCTGCGGGGCAGGGAGCCGTGTTGGGAGCCAATAGGGCTCACACCTGAAGCCCCAATGCTTCCTGCAGAGTTAAATCCTGGAGGTGAAGTGCCCCTCCACAGGATGGAAGTCCCGAGTTCTGGTGTCCTTTGTGGGGCTGGAGCTCTGAATCCCTGGATGAAGTTGGGGGATAGGAGGGTATTGTTCCCCAGAATACAGTGCCTTACACAGAGTGGGGCAGCTTCTCACCTCCTCCAAGGCCCCATTCTCTGGCCAGAGTGAAGGCTGAAAGCTGGAGCCAGGCAATGCAAGATAGCTGATGCTCTGGCTAGTGCCATGGAGCCAGGCTGCTGCTGCTGCATTCCCTCATCTACTGCTGCTGGTGCATGGGGTTGAAGCTGCTTCTCAGCACCCAGCCCCTTTCGATTGCCTGTGCAGCCAGTGAGAGTTGCCCAGGCACAGGGACTTGTTTCTGCAGAGTCCCCAGGGAGCTGCAAATGCAGGAGTGCCCTCCCGCTATCCCTCTTTTTGCACCCTGAGTTGCCCTCTGTGTACAACCTGAGCTATTTTCAAACTTTTTGGTATGATGATCTCCCACCCCTACCTTGAGTTTATATTTGTTGGTTGTGTGCCCCTGCACCCCAGACAGAGTGGGAGGCTTGCCAAGCTTATTCGAGGGTGAAGGTGGCACTTCTTTCCAGGCCCTGCTGCGCAGAGCTGAGCAGCAGTGGGGCTTGCCCCTGCAATACCACAATATAAGATGTCCCTCCACTGTGTGCCTCCTTCCCTATGTGGGCCCTGGAGTACTTATAGAATGTTGGAAGGGGACCTCAGGAAAAAAAGGCAAGAACCTAAAACACTTGAGCTACGTCTACACTGGCCCCTTCTCCGGAAGAGGCATGCTAATTTCAAACTTTGGAATAGGGAAATCCGCGGGGGATTTAAATATCCCCCGCGGGATTTAAATAAACATGTCCGCCGCTTTTTTTCCGGCTTGGGGGGAAAAGCCGGAAAAAAGAGTCTAGACAGGCGCGATACTCCGGAATAAAGCCCTTTTCCGGAGGATCTCTTATTCCTACCTGAAAGTAGGAATAGACGCTTTTTTCCGGCTTTTCCCCAAGCCGGAAAAAAAGCGGCGGACATGTTTATTTAAATCCCGCGGGGGATATTTAAATCCCCCGCGGATTTCCCTATTCCAAAGTTTGAAATTAGCATGCCTCTTCCAGAGAAGGGGCCAGTGTAGACGTAGCCATGGGGTTTGTGCAGCTGCATTGCTTTTTTGTATTTCTCTGTGATGCCTAATGAAACCCTGGATGTGGAGGTGGTCAAAACTTTAAAAATTTTCACATACTTTTCAATTTTATATTTTTCATTTGTTTTGAGTTCAGGATTTTTCTCCATCGGTGCTCTCCCCATTGGTGTTCTTTTCTCTCCCCATCTCCCTTCTAACCCCCTTCCCTCTTTCCTACTGGAAAAAAGTGTTGTCGTGTTTGGGGTATTTTTCTGCTCTTTTTTTTTAATCATAGAAATAGCAATGATACAAGCCAAAACTTTGGACACTCAACATCTTCGTCCCAAACACTGGGGAAAACTTGGATCTGGCACCATTAACACATTTTATATAACTTATTCATAAATATAATTATTTTGCTGTATTTAATTACACTGCAAAATCCACTATCAAATGACATGTTTAAAGAGAATCTGATTAGTGCTTGTGAATTTCTGTCGTCACTCTGTTTTAACTGAATTTTCTATTGAAAGATTTAAAACATGATGGCTTTTATTAGAGCAGGGAGGTTATATAGATATTTTAAAGGTCTGGTATACCATGGTATTAATGTTGCTTTCTTTGTGTTTTTGTTTGTTTTTTTTCCCCTTGTCAAGCTGCTGGACTCATGCACACTTTCAATGCACATGCAGCTACAGATATCACAGGATTTGGAATCCTGGGGCATGCACAAAACTTAGCCAAACAACAACGAAATGAGGTGTCCTTTGTTATCCATAATCTTCCTGTCCTAGCCAAGATGGCAGCAGTTAGCAAAGCATGTGGCAACATGTTTGGCCTCATGCATGGGACCTGTCCTGAGACATCAGGTGAGTGACTTATTTTTTCTTTTCAGAATTTCAGTCTTCCAGATGTGTAGCTACCATCACCATGTATTAAATTCTTAATGGTGTTATCAGGTTAGTAAGATTGTTTACCCAGTTTACTCTTGTGGGGAATAGTTGAAGCATTTACAGTAGTATTTACAGGAGCTTCAGGAAGAAGTGGGTTGTGCCCACGAACGCTCATGATACCATCTACATGTTTTATTAGTCTGTAAAGTCCTAGTATTTACAGTTAGTGATGGTTCTGAATTTCTTTACAATCTTCATTTCTCTTAAAATATTAATTACCAATCAGTGAATTTGAATATGTACATATTCCAGTGCAGCCAACACTTCATTTTCTCAAAAATAACAGTCTGCAATGCTACTGCCAATTAAATATGTGGTTTTTGTATTTTTTGTTATAAACTGTGTGTGAATTTTAGTGTTAGGTTGCCAACCCTCAGACTGAAGCCGTCCATATAGATTGAGTGCTGTCATTCTCCTTTAAGTTTTTTTTTTTTTTTTCTCTCTGTCTAGGTCTCCTGTTTCTTCTTCACTTTATTTTTTGTCTCATCTCCTCTGCATCCCTTATATTTATTTCTTCTCTCCAAAAGTACATAACCGAAGTCCAAGTACCTTAACTCAACTTTTGGCACTGTCCACACTGCAAGAGATTGAAGGGAAAACACTCTCCCTTCAACTTCCCTTACGCCTCCTGGAAGCAGGACTACAGGCGTTGACCGGAGTGCCCCTCTCAGTTCGCAGTAGCTGTCTTAACTCGTCCCGCTAATGCAAATCCTGGAGGATTGACAGCGGCAGCTTCAATCTTCTCTGTAGTGCAGACTTACCCTAACAGTGCTGAGTTGTAGCTTGGCTCACACTGGTGCTTTACAGCTCTGTGTCTAGCTATGCTGTGGGGCCCCTGAGCCAAAAAGTGACAGTGCTGTAAAGTGCCACTCTAGACTTGGCCTTAGTGGCTCAGATGCTGAGGGTATATGATGTGATCACTTTTAAGAGTTCAGATCCAGACCTAGTCAATATAGATGAAAAATATCATTTGGGGACCTTTGTGAATATGTTTACCTGAGTTGTAGACGCTGACTTGTTTTCTGTCTAGGTGGTGCTCGACCCACCCACACCCATTCCATTCCTTTCCCCCAACCTAGTGCCCTGCCTCTTCCCCCTCCCTCCAAAAGTGTCCTAAATGTTGCATGGTGGGAGACTGTGGGAGAGGGAGGAGTTGATTAGCAAGATGGCTGGTGGTTGAGAGGCACTGGGGAGACATGGGAGCTTGGCTGCTGGTGGGTACTGTGCACCCACTAATTTTTTCCAGCCTCCAAGCACCCACAAATCAGCATCTGTGGCCTATTTTTCTGGTGGATAGATGTCTGTGTAACAAATTTCACCTCACATGGGCCTAAGTGCCACTCTAGTTCATGCTTGCAGGAAAGCCCAAATGCTGCTTTCAAATGAAGACTGAACTATGGGTGCTTCCCTCATATGAGGGAGAGGCTCTGAAAGCACTGCAGAAACTTGCACTGGTGTATCCTGGCCCTTGCATTAACCCTGCTCTGTGAATAATACACTTCAGTCTCAGGGGTGTCCTCCCACACTACAGTGTCTACCTAGAAAAGATGAAACTCTGGAAAACAAATGAGATGATTTATAAGGAAGCATGTCTCTCAAATTCTGGTGTGAATTCCTTTCAAGTGGCTTCTCCACAATTATTTACCAGCACTGTAGATGTGAATGTTGCTTGAATACTCTTGTGGATTTTCCAGGCATTTATGGATTTGGATTCGATAGGTGTTTGTAGTGAGCATTGACCCAGAGGGGAAAGAACCCCTCTCCTGGCCCAGGTAGGCCGAGCCTGGTCCTGCCCCTTTAACTCCATGGAAGCTAAGGGGGAGGGGTGAGTAGTATAAAAGCCCAGCACAGTAAGGCCACAGTCACCAGAGGAAGCAGAGGCCTGCCCAATCTCCCATGTAGGGAGGCCGCTGAATACCTGGCTGAAGCTGAGGACTGGCCTGGACCACTAGGTCCCCACACCAAAGAAGAGATTTTTCTACCCCTGCCTAAAGGCTCAGACCCTGAGTACCGGCAGCAACTGCGGAGCCAGGTACATTCCAAGGGGGAGTTTGGAAGTGGCCCAGGGAAAGGCGATTATGGTCATGCTGACCTCATTATCTTTGAGTGAGTCAGCATGTTGTGGACCGGATCCCCGCTGACCCCAGTGGTAGCCAAGCCTGCCACTGTTAGGGCCCTTGGTCAGGATGCGATGGAGTAGGGAGGGGCCTGCATTTCCCCCTACAACCCCACAGACTGGGTGGCAGTCTCCCCCTCTCCTGCCAGAGATCTACTGTTTGCCTGCCCACCCTGCACCAGGGCCTGGGGCTACTTGAACAGTGAACTGCTTTCAGTTTGTCTGCCCTGCCCTGAAATAGGACCTGGGCCTACCTAGACTGTGAACTACGATTTGTCTGCCCTCTCTGTACTCAGGGCCTCGGCTTAAAGAGGGCCACTGGGTGTTGGTTAACAGGCCTAAGCACAGGACTGGGACACAGGACTGAGTCAAGTGGCCTACAGTGTTACAGAACATGTGAATTGGATTTGGGATATTTGTAACATTTCCTGTATTTACTTTTTGGATAATTGTAGCAGTTATCCTTTATTTACTTAAGCTATAGATGTAATATTTCAGGAAGTTTCATATTTTGCAAACTTTTTTTTTTTATAGCAGAGTACAGCAAATGATGGATAGCACTTATAACTGCTGTTTCTTGAGTATCCACCAATACCAGTGTTAGGGTAACAAGACTTTAGTAACATAGCAGACTCTACAGAGGTGGGGCCAACAGACTTCTCAGAACCCTGGGCAAGGTGAGGGGAGAACTGGTTCCACAGCCCCGTAGGGGTGGGGCTTTGGACAGAAGGGGCAGGGCTGGAGATTAGCCTACCCAAGGCAGCACTCCATGTCATATGAGGCTCCTGCTGCCACCATTGCCAGGCAGTTCCTGCCCACCCTGGTGGCAGACCTGACTCTACATTAGGAGTTGCTGATGATGTTCATATGAAAATTATGAAATCTCTGTTTCTAAAGATCGTAAACCAGATTAGCATATGGTATCAGGAGAGAGTGAGGGGGAAATTGATGTATGCAGGTTACTTTCTTGCACCTTTATTAATTATTTACCATACTGTACTTCCCACCACTCCCTGTTTGTCCATTTGGTATTTAAGTTATTCATTGAATGCCAAATGCAAGTTAGTTGGTTTCATTATTTAAAGTGATTCTCTGACCCATTTGTATCACCAATGAAGTCGCTATTCAACTTGAAGTAGACTTCCATGGAAATAGCACTTGCTTCTGCCAGAGATTAATTTGGGCCATTGTGCCTGGAATAGTTGAAACATTATGGTTGTTTTTCCTATCTGCTTTTGTTGCTCTTGATTAAAGATACGCACAGGAGAGTGTATGTCTTCAGATGCTTGGGAGATGCAGCTTTCATGCATAGCACGCTTAGTGAGTCCACGTAACACCTAGAAATAATGTTTACATATATTATTTTGTATTATTGTATTATTTTGTATGATCCATAAGATTTTAGTTTTGTTCAGCATCTTTATTGATGACCTGGATGAGGAGATGGCTTGCACTCTCAGCAAGTTTGCGGATGACGCTAAGCTAGGGGGAGAGGTAGATACATTGGAGGGGAGAGATAGGGGCCAGAGTGACCTAGACAAATTGGAGGATTGGGCCAAAAGAAATCTGCTGAGGTTCAACGAGGACAAGTGCAGAGTCCTGCACTTGGGATGGAAGAATCCAAAGCATTGTTACAGGCTGGGGACAGAGTGGCTATGCAGCAGTTTGGCAGAAAAGGACCTGGGGATAACAGTGGATGAGAAGCTGGATATGAGTCAACAGTGTGCCCTTGTAGCCAAGAAGGCTAATGGCATATTAGGGTGCATTAGGAGGAGCATTGCCAGCAGATCTAGAGAAGGTATTGTTTCCCTTTATTCCGCACTGGTGAGGCCACATCTGGAGTATTGCATCCCATTCTGATCATTGCAGTTTTTTGAAGTCTACTAAGTCACAATGGCAGGTTCCTTCATTGCATTTTCCCACCTCAAAAAGATCCAAATGTAAACATTGTTCCATCTTGGGGGTTCTAATATTTTTACTCCCCCTTTTTCATCCTTATTTCTCTGTTAGTCACAGCGGCCAATGAAAGGGCATTCCAGTATCACCCCTCCTCCCAAATTAAAGAGAAGGGAGGTTCCAAAGAGGCAGGAGAAAGGTTGTTCTCAGTATTGACAGATGGCAGAAAAAGGAGCAATGGTTTCAAGTTACAGTGGGGAAGGTTTAGGTTGGATATTAGGAAAAACTATTTCACTAAGCCTGTGTCTACATTGGCGCAATCTTGCGCCAAGGCGGCCACTTTTGCGCCAAAACATGCTGCCTGTCTACACTGGCGGGGAGTTCTTGTGCAAGAACACTGACATTCTAATGTGTGAAATCAGTGCTTCTTGCTTAAGAACTATGATGCTCCCGCTCAGGAACGAGCAACTGTTCTTGCGCAAGAGGCCAGTGTAGACAGGCAACATGAATTTCTTGCACAAGAAAGCCCAATGGCTAAAATGGCCATCGGAGCTTTGTTGCACAAGAGAGCGTCTACACTGGCATGGATGCTCTTGCGCAAAAGCACATGCCAGTGTAGACGCTCTCTTGCGCAAATACTCTAACACAAAAACTCTTGCGTTAAAGAGTATTTGCGCAAAATTATGCCGATGTAGACGTAGCCTAAGAGGGTAGTGAAGTACTGGAATGGGTTACCTAGGGAGGTGGTCTCCATCCCTAGAGGTTTTTAAGTCCCAGCTTGACAAAGTCCTGGCTGGGATGATTTAGTTAGGGTTGGTCCTGCTTTGGGCAGGGGGCTGGACTCAATGACCTCCTAAGGTCTCTTCCAGCCCTAGAATTCTGTGATTCTAAGATTGCAGAAGATAAGCAGGATTGACACACTTTAAAAGAGGTCAAAGAAATTCTTGTGTATTCTTGGAATTTTTGTTGGTGATTTAGTAGATGATGATCTTTTCCCAGAGTCTCTTCCAAATCAGCGACCTTTTATGATGATAATGGGCATTGTGCGACTGGATATGCCATCTAGATTAGACATAAGACCCAAAGTCTTTACTGTTTCTGGCCACTTAAGATACTGTGGCACTTTTCATAAGTGTAAGAGTGCCCTGGTTAGATTCTTCTGGGACTATCCATTTCTTGTTTTAGAGGGGTCTGTGAGAGTGCTATGTATTGAATGCGGTAGTTTTTTAATAACCTATCAATTCTATGTCTCTTATCAGGTGTTGTGAGGATTGATTAGTGAAATCAACTTATTTACAGAACTTTCCATGGCACTTATTGCCATAATATCTGATCATGTCCTATGCACTATTAAGATTTGTCTTCACAACAGTACTATGAGGTAGGGAAGTATTTTCAGCTTTCTACACATCAGCTGAGGTGCAGAGAGATTAATCTCCCTGCCCAAGGTCCCACAGGAAGAACCAGGTCTTGAAAAGACCATTCCAGTTCCTTTCAGTATACTGAAAAAGGGTGGTCTCGCAAGTATTGTTGGAAGACAAGTATTGAAGAAGCACCACAGTATTCCTATTTTTACTAAGTGAATGCTAAATATGCTACTTTAATTAGTAAATATTCTTTTCAATCCATGATGAGTGTGGGGGAGAGGGATTTGTGAAGAAGACTGTATGTTTCTTATTCACATAAAAAGTCCTATTAAAATCATACAGACTGAGCAAGACATGTAGGGTCAGACCTAGACATAACTTTGGGTCATAATCTGAAACCTTTACTCACTCTTGAACAGTACTGCTCTGAGTAGTTCCAATGAAGTCATTGGGACTATTTGAGGATTAAGGCGTTACCATGACTCCCATGTGCATGTCAGATAAGGGTCCTTTATTCATTATAACGATTTTTATTTATTTTTTTTAAAGTAGGGGTGAGTGGCAATATTTTATGTTTTTGCTATGCCTTTTGTGTTTCTATATATCTTTTGTTATCCTTAACACAGTGGTTCCGAACCTTTTTGACACCAGCGACTGGCAAACCCATTCAAAAACTTTCAGTGGACTGGCAACACTTCATTTGCATAATTGCATATTCATTATGTAAATGAATATGCAAACAGTGTTGCCAGTCCACCAAATGCTCCAGCCTCTAGAGTACCCCAGTGCCAGCCCTAACCCACTAGAGCCATCCACTACACCCCAGCGCTAGCCACTGATCCCAGAGTCCCCTGCATCCACCCTCCCAGTGCCAGCCTCCCACCCTCAAGAGTCCCCCAGTGTCAGCACCCCAATGCCAGCCTCTTGTTTCCAGAGCCCCACTGCACCCAACCCCCCCCCC